AATCAAAGAATATTATTTCTCAACAAATTCATTAATTTTATTTAGCACGGAGCATATTCGTTTGGAAATTTTACGGAAGATGAAGTCTGTCTACCTTGATGTTGTATTCTAGCTAGGATTTTATTGCATTCAGTATCTGCATATGCCTTCTCGCTTTGAATCGGCTGTAGATTCCAGATGATTGCTAGGCCGCAACCACCCACCTGTTACAGAAAAATTATATCGCATATAAAATCAAGTTAGAATTTTAGGGTTGTCACTGACTGTTACCATAGCTATAAATTGGCAAGAAAAGAAAAAACAACGCGAAAACTACACAAAAGACAAAAAGTAAAAGCGCGTCAGTTTTCAATAGCATGAAAACATCCGTTAAAGAGAGAGCCTTAACTGAATTTCCAGTTCAGTACGTTCGTTTCTAACCAGTGAGCTCCTACAAGGCATTGTTTGTACATGTTCCGCTATAGAATCTTCGAAATACAACTGTGAATATTGAAAATAAAAGTCCAATATCGGTTACCCGCTAGAAATAACATCTGAATTGGATTTGAGACTCACATTTCCTTGTCCGCATGTAGCTAGTTTGTCCATTGTCGGATGAATATCGACAGCATAAATCGCTCCTCCTTGAAAACACATCTGATGAGATTACATCCACGTTATCTAACGAAATATTAGGTTATTTCTCTACGGGATGGGCTTGAGTAGCAATCACAACAGTATACTGCAAAATAATGGACATTTCTCGCTTTACAAGCATCGAAAAGTAACCCATAGGTTTTGAGAGCGCAGAATAACTCGAGCACCTGAAGCTGGAGTAGGTCAAAAATGGATGATTCCTACTAAAATGCTTAGGAAGTAAACAAACCAAATTTTCTCAGTTGTCAATCTGGCAGAATTAGAGGACTTAGAAGCTAAAGAAATAATTTTTAAAAAGAACACTGGAAAAATCAGTCTATTTGGAAAGCATCTTTTGGGCAATATTTCCACTACTTCATTGTTTAAGAACAGATAACAGGCTACCGAAGATTAACAAACAGGAACTCAATAACACCATATAGAGTGGGTGAAAGAGAAAATAACGAAACACTTCTCATTTTCTCAGTTGGTCTTTCGTCTCTCTAATTAAACGATATTTTACATAGAAAGATAGACTCAAACCACAACATTACCTTCATGGTGTACCCACGTCGGATTAGTCAGGTACATTTTCGTCCAGGTCACAGAAAATCTGGTACTACAACGTATACTGAAGCGTGAACATCATGTGAGAGCAGAATCGAAAGAAACAAAGAACTAAAAGCGCTTATTTCAAAAGTGAAAACCTTTCAATAACGTTAAAAGAACAATGGAATCAGCTCAGAAAAATATTGTCAGGAAACATGCCTTCATAACAACAACGATTTGCTAGAGAAAAATACACGTCATCGTTCATATTTATACACGAAAAATGAAAAAGCAGGTCAAGACAGGTCGTTCTTTGCAACCTAGATAAACTACGAATTAACTACTATCCAGAATCGGAAAAGGAATAACATTTCTGGAAAAACAAAAACGAAAGGAACACCTGAAGGAATGCAACAGCTTGGGGCAGGGAAAAACAATAGCACATAAATCAACGCAACATAAGTAGTTCCGAATACTTTGCTGCGGAACATTCAGATTCTGGAAATCAAAGAAAGAAAAATTCAACTCAAACAATTTGACAAATATCACATTTTCATTATATCAAGAGGTTATAACGTGTGTAGGCAATATTTCCAAGAGAAATCGCATCTGAGTTGACTCTAGTAGATTAAAAACAATGGACAAGATAACAAAGGCCACTAAAATGACCGCTAACACTGACTTCACTATGGAACGAAATCTCCTTCTGTACCACTTACAACGACCGGTCCAACGAACTAGGAAGACCCTTTTAACCAAGCAGACAGTATCATATGTGCGTGCTACTAGCCTTCATTTAGAATCATAATTAAACTAGAATTATAAAAAATTGGAAACTATTTTACTCGTTGACACATTTGCGACGATGCTGTTCACTACTAGGTAAACTTCTAGAAAACCTGACATAAAAAGGAGACTTTGCTCTGCTGCTCCTAGGATTTCTACGAAATTTGCAAGTACTATTTTCTCCCTGAATTTAGCTGAATTAAAACCTCCGAATTTTCAAAGGGTCTGATTTCCAAACAATTTTTAACGAAACCGTCTATAGCAGCATTGCATTTGTGTGCTCAGTTCCGAAGGGTCATAAACTAAAAATGTTAAGCTGACCGTGGTAAAGTAAGAAATTTCTGTTTTGGGGTAAGATGAGTTGATTTTAATGGTTTTCACTAAATACTCTCCCAACGTATAGCACCTGTAAGTGTCGTAATTGTTTTGCGCGAGTGGTCAGTATGACATCTATAGGTGTCAATTCTTCTCCGGTAGTTTATTTTGGTGCACATAAGTTTTTTCCCCACAGCTCTTGTAGTCAGTCGATGGCCGCAACGCAGATGCTATTGAGGTGTCGTATATAGAAGGATGTTCGAAATTCGCAGCAATTTTCCGATTTTTTCGTCGAGAACTATTGCTGTTAAAGTGTCTCCGCCTCAAGGAACTGGTGACGTATGCAGTGTACATCACCATTTTTAATAAACAATTCATTCTTCCTACACTTTCAATCCCTATGATGACTTATGGGTATTGTTCAGAATGAGAAGATTTGAAACTAAAACGCAAACGTCGTAATATCCCTTGTAGAACTCACAAAATCTTACCGAATGTTTACGGCAACATGACTGCATTGTGGACGAATGCTTTTCTTCATGTAGAAGAGCTGTGTATGCACCAGAAAAAGTGGGAATGTGTGCAAATGAACATGAAAAGCGGGCGGGCTACATGAAAACTGCCGAAATCGCCAGTGTAATACCTACAGATGTTGCAGCGAGCGCAGCGAGTAATCAAGCATCTTCGCAAAAGTGTTAAGTCAGTACAGTTTGCTTTGATCTGAGATGTATCTGCAGAAAGTTCAATGGGTAAATGAATACTTGCCACGCATAAGTCATGTGCGAGTTGTAAACTCGCATTGAGGTAATGAGCTAAACTCGAACTCTCATTCAAAAACAATTCAATATCTAGTCTACCTAAAATATATGAAACAACCATCTTCATCTTTTAGTCGGGTACATCACACTCATCATCTTGTCCTACGGTCTCACAGGTTCGTTAAACCAAAAAAAGCTTAAGAAAAATCGTTGGAGTATGTGTCTTCTTCAATCTTAGAAAGATCAGTCAGTAAAAATGTTACTGCTTAATAAAAAGTATTTAATAATACTTTTTAGATTAGAAACTTCTTGGAACTTCAAAAATATCTCGGGAAAAGGATACACGATAATTGCACTCATTGCAGAGTAATGAAAAAATAAACGCACTTAAATAATTAGAAAGCACTGTTGAGGAAAACAACCGCAGTTTCTGGATTAGAAACCGATCAATATTTAAGATAGTGTGGGTTGGAAGTGAACATAGAAACAAATACTTGGATAACCGCTCGATAACACGACGGTAACAAGAGAAGACCTCTCGAAAAGACCTCTTTAATTCCAGAGAACTGTCATAATTTAAGAAGCGCTCGTATTCGTGCTGCAACTCCTAGTCCGATCCCGGTTGGGAAATCGACGAATTGGTGGCTGTTGCACGGGTACACATACATGAAGGAGATATGCCTACAACAAAAAGTCATTTTGTGTTTCTAAACGTTTAGAGCAGTCACTATTTAGTTTCAATCAAAAACTTATTTCAAAATGATTTTTAAAAGAGCTGTGTTGTGTAGAAATAGGTTTACGATCTTCTGCCGCTAAATAGTCGTAAACAACATATCTCGCACAAGAGATATGTTGTTTACGAAGAACTTAACGCAAGCCCATGTCAGCAAACTCGTTCGCCTTTCCAAGCGTTTTCTGTCAAACTACAATGCCAGCTCGTTGCAAAGTGGAGACCGATATGGCAAAAAAAAACTGTTGCTCAATCGGTGTTACATGTCGATCACAAACTCCTCACTGAAGTCATCCCCACGAGATTGACAAAACATTAAATGAAAAGTAATTATATCAGCAAACAATGCTCCAAACTATTTCATTGCCCAGCGTTAGGTAGAATGAAAGCTAATCGATTTCAACAACGCGTGTGGCAGAATTGCTCTACAGTTAAGCCTCGATGAAAACATGGTCCTTACAAATTCTTTCTTGTTGATTTCCACTTACTGTCAAAGGAATGAACATATCTGGATGCTACAACAATGTGTATACTTCGTCGACAAGTCAAATGATGAATGACATAGCTCCTGAACTGAGCAAGAGGAAGCAAACCACTTGGATAACTCACAAGAGAATGGTAATGCAGTGGAGAATAGAAATGCAATGGCTTATAAAATGACTCGCAATGGCCTATTGATATATCGAGTCAGTGCGTCTACCCTCCCAAACAAGTAAGGTCAAGTAAGGTACCAATTTGTCGACCACGTAGGGTTGGTGGGCTTGAACGATCTAGGAAACGGGGATCGACCCCATGTGTATTGCAGAGTGCCTTTGATCACTGCGATATACGCGCCCCTCGATACAACAGATGCACAGGCCAAAATGTCGAAAATATATAACGAAAACCAGCCGTTAACGATCGCTATCGACTAGCTCCAATGGAATACCAAGCACAGATCCTTACGATCGGATTGAACGAAAATTAAAGAGAATTTTAGAGCGCTTCGAACTCCTAGCTCGAACAAGCTGAGCCCCTACTTTTGCACGTGTCGAATATGGACTGCTGAAACCGCTGGATTCTCTTCATGATTAATCGAGGTATAAATAATACAAATAAAAAACATGAAGGAACGAATCCCAAACTTTGTGGCCAAAACAAGGTGAAAACATCACATTTCCACAAAAAATTTTTTTGAACGACTTAACCAAGTTTTGCAAGTGTAAACTACGCTATGACCATTGTTAAAAATTCGTGATGAAAATTTGTTAAGCATTACACCTACAACGGATTTGGGACAGACTTGTTATGAGAACGTATTCATAGGCGTACGTGGCAAGTACATCTGCGAAAGGACTTACTCCATATTCTCGGAGTAAGTCGTCGTTCATATGGACTTTGTCAGCGGTTCCTCTTGGACAGCCTTTGGAAACAAGAAATTCAGCGCGTAAATTTTGATCCATGAATACTGCATGAGAATGTTCCATGCATAAGCAGATATATTGGAACACTAAAAAATTAGAATTAGTCATTAAAAATGATTTATTGGATGTGATGTGAAAGGTTAAGTTAGGCGGAACTCTAAAATTTGGAGTGGACAAACAACAGTAGAAATAACACAGATCATTAAATAACTCGAAATGCGTTCCACTACCAATACTGGGAAAATATCTATAAAATAAAAGACAAACACACTGTCTTCGTTAACACTCTGCGCGAGATTATGATCAAGTTCAAACGGATCGCTTATTACCATTGGACATCGAGGCCATCTGCAATTCCTTCTAACTTGCCAAGGTACATTGATTTGAATGATCTGGATAAAAACAGTTTGAATTTCAAGGAAATGCACATATTAGTTCAAGAAAACCAACAGTCTAAAGGAAGATCTTTTTGAGCGGTCTATAACATACATGTCTTTCGTACTGGAAATAGGTGGAGAAGTAATCCAAAAATCCGACAAACAATTCAAAAGTACTAACAGCGATGCATTGAGAGTGAAGAACCTGAAATCCACTTAAAATGACGATTAATCGTTTCTCAGTGTCTCATACGTTGTGAAAACGTTCTTTATAAATAAAGCGGTATAAAGTAGCATCAAACATGTTATTGGATGGAAAGTGAATGAAAGCACAACGAAGTCCACCCGAATACTAAGAAAAAAAAGAAGAAAATATTAGATCATACATCTACAAACTCGCAAAAATCCACATTCCAACCATTCACATATTTCTTCTCCATGCTATCAGGGATACCCTGAAAAAATTCTGTCTTCATAAAGAAGAGTAAAGAATAACAACGAAGGAGCATTTTCCTGAAGTAAGAGAGACACATACGAATTGTCTTATTCTCGAACAACCTGCATTAAGTGATTTATACTAGAGTGCCACAGTTAAATCACTTTTAAAATTTCAATCCTTTTAATATGTCATAATTTCAAAAATATATAAAATTAAAATATGTAGCTGCAAAAACTTACGAGCTGTAAAAATGGCAACATTCTAATAGGCTCGGTACGTTGTAGATAATGAATCAGCATGAGAATCCATGCGTATGAAGATAAGGAGCCCTTGGACGCATCACCGACACCACAGCGTTTCGCCCACTTAAAAAGTGCCAATATCCTGATAATCATTCCACCTATCCGAATAAAACATACGAGATGTTCTAATTCCAGTGCATGATTATATAAATTTAGCCCACCGAGATGTGGTCTACTGCTAAAAAGAAGAGTAAATCGAGGTCACAACCGTGCTTTTGCAAACAATGCACTATATTTTTTCATCCCAATCATAAACTACAGTAGAATTTTGATTAATCGGCAAAAAGAACGGCAAATCTAGATATTTGCAGCAATTTATCAAAATTTTTACATTTTCATGATTTCTATAAACTGTCCTTGTTGAGCTCATGCGACGTTTGTATAAGTTGTTGCTTTTGTGGTTGTTGTTGCTGTTGTTGTTGTTCGATGGCCAACGTTTCGGCAATTTGGCCTTTCTCAGGGCCTGGACGTATCCTGTGTAACAATAGCTTTATAATTCGTGAGACCCGCTTAATTTGAAATTTTTAACTATCTGACCTAGGTGGTTCGTGCACGTTATCCCACACAGTCTCACACACAAAACGGGGAACGGTTTTTAGATAAAATGGCATTTATTTACATGTTAGATCCTCATTCATACTACAGATATTTCGTTGAATTACAAGGCTATCGTTACATTAAATACGTCCAGCGTTTGAAGAAGGCGAAGTCACTGAGGAGTCAGCCATCGAACAACAGCAACAAAGCCACAACAACGATAACGACAACTTATGCCTACTGTTATCAGCTTAAGAAGAGCATTTCATGAGGATATACACAGATAAACCGCCTGTTTATGCACGGATTTAAAGAAAACCGGTTTATTGAGTTATTTTGGTCATTAACGTTTTCATTAAAATGAAATCGAGACAAATTCCTTATCAGAAGTTTGGAAAGGGTGACATACTGTCTTCACCCAGATTCCAAGCGTTGGCAGGCGGTCCCTATCCCACTTACAGTACTGATGAAGAAGTTTAGTGTTGTGCAAGGCCAAGTCGTTTCGATATGAAATGCTGAAATAGAAAAGACTAAAGTACTAACTCGACGTCCCAATTTAAATATGCCCTAGAATAGGAATGATGTTCTTTTAGAAGAATGGCAAACCTTATTTTTGTATAAAAGACCATTTATTTTCCTATGAACTCATTGTTCATTCTGTTTATACCTTGGAACTACCTTTGATTTTCTTTTCCTCTACGAACACAGAAAACAAAAACAACATTATCAGGTGTCCATCCGTACCACATGTATCACCTGTGGTCCCATGAATCATCAAGTGACTTAAGGTGCAATAAATCCTGCCACGTTGCGAACAAGAGCAGCTCAGTAGGACTCTCATTCCTTCATATGAAATACTGGATTTCTAGATCTTAGCGCAAGACATAAACCAAGAGCACCTCGTCGATTCTGTCGAAGCTACTGCATATATTCATGGATAGTCTGCCAGGTTTTCCCAGACCATAGAAGCTTATTTGTTGAAGGCGACCCTGAATTAATTAATTCCCATACATTCTCCAGTTTGAACCCTTACGCTTCCCAAGAATTCATTGTGTGGAAGCACTCCGATAAGTGGACACTCGTTGTGAATGCGTCCCAATATCTTGGTGCCCTTCCTGCCGGAAAGAGCCTTTCAGCCAGGAGAACAAACGCGTACGAAAAAGTTGTGTAAACAATAATCCACTGAAAAGTGTGTGATAAAGCTTTTACTGGATCATACATGGTACAACTCTGTATTAGCCACGTTACTGATTAGGTGTGAGAGACAGGAAAAACTCTGTCGAAATAAACAAAAGGAGATGAAACCAAACCGACATCCCAACATATAAACTTATGAGGGTTCAAAAAAAAGCATTATTATCAAGTTAGTAGTGTTCTCCAACTCGTTTCCTTTACCTATGTCTTTTAGCTTAATCTCTCGCAGAAATCTCTTGGTTGTGAAACGAATTTTTCCAAACTCACTCAGCCTTAATGCCTCCGTCTTTGCCACGAAACCGCACAATCGGAACCTTGGCGCAAATGTACTGTTCGTCACGGGCATTGGGATAGTCGACAAGTGCTTTTGCCACCTCGCGCATCACCAAATCTGGACATACTACTCCACCCACAATCACCTTTCCTTTTGGTGGTCCAAGCGGGAAGGATAGACTCATATCAACGTCACAAGTACGAGTTCCGAAACCGTTAAGAGTAGAACCGTAGATCTGAAAATGAAACGAATTCCTGCACGGAAATTTTTTAAAATTACCTTTAGAGCTGCACAAATATTGCATTGACGGGATCTCATATCTCCAGAGAACACCCCCTTCCTCAATCCACTGACTAACTAACAACGTGGTACATTAGACAAGAATCTACGACGAAAATATCCACGTAACATCTACAGAACACCACATATTGTTGTAAATTTCCAAAAGTGTTCTTGATAGGTTAAAGCGAGAGACAAGGAGGAAAACTAAAAATCTAAAACCTACCATTAACGACACACAGGTGCCAAAATAATTGGATAGGTGGACTTCCAAATCTACTTTGAATCGACAAATCAGATCAAATTGATGCGCTTTGAAGCAGTTGTCTTCTGTAATAATAAGTTCGACATGGTAATAGTGCAAAACTTCGTTCTTAAAAAATATTTCTTACTAACAGCACTTTACGTTATACCTCTGTGTAACTTCATTGCTCTACTTATTTCGATAGCATCCGTCTTGTTCTTACTGGGATAGTGACTGAAATCGTCTAACATGCTCCTAAACGTGACGAAGCTATGTAAATTCGAAACGGTTCCAGACAGAAAAAATGGGTTTAAGTCCTACTTAAGTCGAATGTGCTGCAACGCCGATCCGTTTTGACCGTTAGACAGACTAACGACAGGCAGGCCTATACTAGACATCTTTTGACATGACAATGTGAAAGAAAACTTGTATTTGTGCACATTATGGGGAGGATAACAATGGTAATGATGCCGTTCAATATGCACAAGGCTCTAGTTCGAACCTAACTTTGGCCAGCCAAGCCCCTAATCCCTCTAGACCCGTGGAATTGGTAAGAGATTTGTTTGTGATCAGCTATCTCATTCCAGTCAACAAAAGATGGCGCCTGCCTGTGATGACGACTTGGGAACATCCTGGCACAGGCATCCCTGGATTCCAGGCAAGATCGACACGACCATTATACGATGGCATTCGTAAAGATGAGCAAAAAATCCTCGCGAAGCAACAGAAAACAAGCACACAAATCTGAAGATCACCGTAGATGAGACAAATAGAGAAACGAATAGATTGCTTGAAATGTTGGAAGCCGCACAATATGAGATGACCTATCACGCAAAAATCAGAAAAAAACAAGAATGAAATTATACATGATAGTATAATATCCGAATAAACACAATTCCCTTTTCTTGGTAGTTCTGACCCACTAGAAATAAATCCGACACGATGGTTGCCTGTTACGCCGGACGATGTCTACCATGGTTACTAAGGTTGGTAACCGCCTCCTAAAGACTAGTTAGGTGGCAAAAATAAAATGGCATGATTGCCGCTTATCCATCAATCAAAAGGCAATATATTTCAAAGTTCAGACCACCTTCAACACTTGATAAAATTCTTTTCGATGCTTACTCGACCGTCAATGCGAACCACACCTATGCACTGTATTCAGCCCACGTTACGCCCTCCAACTTACGGCGACGAGCTAATTTGCCCACATTCATGTAAATCCTGGCTTCGGACTCAGTAACACTTTGAACACAACAGTGAGTTTAATTTGGACAACCCCAATCGAAATATGGTCGCTGAATCCCAATGTGACAGTATGGAAAATGACGGTTAAGCAGAGAACATTCAATTGCTTCAAACTCATTTTGTCGATAAGAGATCATCATAAAGCATCGCAAATTATAGAGGAGCAGACCAATCAAATATTGAAGTCAAAGTCATATATCTTCTACGTCAATATTACCGCATCACTAAGAGATCGATGAAACGTGGTAATTTGTAGTACCGAAAAATATTTCAATGTATGGTATCGCTACTCTGGTATTCAAAACTCTGCAAATTAAACATAATTAGTTGTTATACCTACATTATATCCACGTGTAGCGCCATGGTCGGAGGCGTTCTGCAAAACACATGGAATCGATCGCCGCGCCTCAAGCTCACCAAGTCTTCCATTCCTCCGTGGTAGGTCGGCGAATTGGTTCCGGACCTGTCTGGGAGGATAGCAGCACCGATTTGAAAATTAGTAGGCCACCCCTAGTCAGTGTAAAAGCCAGATATGCATTCAATCACCTTCAAGGATTCTTAATGAAGTCCAATGCATACTGTATCTAGCAGGGATTGATCAACACCGACAGCCTTATCCTCATATCCTTCTAAACCCATTTTATAGGACTCAATTATGTATTACAGCAACGTTTTTACATCATGTAACAAAACATTACATTGTATAACATCAACAAAACAAACAACTATCACGATGTTGTAGCGCAAAAAAGAGAGAGATATCATGTACACTAATGTCCTAGTATAATTCTGATACAAAGTGTGGAAATATAGTCCCACACTTACTAAGTACTTACTTGATACTTGATACGTGAACGGCCCACCCTCACTAATTGTGCCGGCCCCACCGTAATCACCATTTCTCGGAGATTTGCTGGTTAAGCCATTGTGGTTCCCTGGAATCCTGAGGACAGCCTGGCCAAAGTCTGCCCCAGGTCGTCACCACTACAGGCAGTTGCAGCCCTTGTGGATCAGCGGGAAATTTGCCACCATGCGACTTTGATACCAGGAAGGTGGTGGATTCTGGTATTAGTTTAACCTTGGCTGAGTTTCTTGCTGGAGATGCCGGACTCCTTTTCAGCTTGGGAGACCCTGCCAGGAGATGAATCCCCCGCTGTACATCGCGGTCCGACGCCCAGGAACACCTCCCTGCCACGATGAAGCGGTAAACCGTTGGGAGGAGTAAAGTACTAATTTTATCAACTGCAATTCTGCTAATTATCTAATAATCACCGTGGGCATCAGGAAAGTCATCATTTGGACATGTTATGCATGACAGCTGCTCACCATCTCCAAAATAGTTCACATAGAATGTTGGTTGTGGCGATGCTTAGGAATTAATTCAGGGATACGTCACACATTCGACTTCAATTAAGCATCAATGGAGGTGACTGGATTCCATATATGGCCCTTACAATGACTCACGTTGGCCTACCGATTTATCCAGTCTGTGCTGATATGCTCCCAGACAAGTCTGTTACCAATTTGCCAACTCGGGAGGGATGGAAGTCTTTGTGAACTTGGAGTGCAGGGATCGATCCAGTGTGTAGCGTAAGGTTCTTTAGACCACTGCGCTACATGCGCTACAGAACGAAATGTAGCACATGAAACGCGTAGGCAAACTAACAGAACGTCGAATAACGAATGCAAAAATTCAAGAAATAACAGATTCAAAACCACCCACATATGCGACGCACTACGGGCGCTTTTGGTTTCTTAAGATAACTCGTCCATAACGCATGTTCGTTCTAAGTAAGGGTTAAGCAAACTCCACAAAATTTCTTTTAGTGATTGCCGATTTATCGTTGTGGTTCACTACGTGATAAAAATATCTAGGTTGTAACTAATCAAAAGCAAGTAACGCATGAAATATGGATTAAACGATGGTGATGAACATGGTATGGCCCACGTTTTAGAAGGTTCTAGGATAACTCCAGAAGCATTTCTCATCAAACACTGTGTACCACGATAACAAACGAGCAAGACACTTTTTGCCCCACACAGAAGAAAACTTTGATGAAGAAGTAAACCATATACTTCTCTTTGTGCAACACAACTTCGCATCAATCTCGACAAAAACGGCGTGGATTACGTGAGGTCGAGTGCAGTATACCTGAACACCCGTATGAAGACGTGCAACGATCAGCGACGATAAATCTATTGGCGATATTGGGAGAGCATTTTGTTCCTACATGAAAAAGAAAAACCTGAGTGAGAAATCACAATTTGAACGAAATACTTCACTACGCGTGTAGAGCAGTGGTCGGAGGCGCCCTGCAATACACATGGGATCGATTCCTGTGCCCTAGGACCATCAAGCCCTCCAACCCTCCGGAGTCAGCATATTGCTGGTAGATCAGTGTACGAGGATAATATCGTGAGCTACTGTAAAGGCCAAATATGTATTTAATCACCTCCAACAATGTTAACGAAGGAGAATGCATGGCACATCCCTCGTGTATAGACGAACGCCGACAACTCTTAAGCTATTTACTTCACTACATGCAAAAACATGGCGGGAATTTCTAGGTGAAACGTTATTAATCTTGCTCACGAATCTAAAACAGTGTCGAGCAGAACTCTTGAATTTTGATCAACTCCGAACCTAAAGATAGACCACAGAAAAGAATGTCTCATAATTCCGCAGCACTCATAGATTTGCATCCCAGGTCAAGTTTTTGACCAACCTAGGAGCAGGCACATTTTCCATCCCCCATGACATGAACCCTGTGAAGGTGGTCTTATCTACCAATCAATATACGACACAAAGAATACGATGACAATACTGTTTACAGTACTGCTGAAATTTAAGTTTTCAGGGTTTTGTTGAGGTAACAAAACTTTTTACCGATCCAACAACAGGACACATCACTGTCCTGGTATCAAACTAGTCGCATGGTGGCAAATCTCCCTCTCATTCACGAGGGCGGCGACTACCTGTAGTGGTGGCGATCTGGGACAGACTGGCTAGGCTGACCTCGGGTCTTCAGGGAATCACAATGGCTAAGCCAGCAAAATCTCCGAAAAAGTAGAAATTATGTTGGGGCCTCCGCAGGACCAGTGACGACAGGCCATCCATGTATCCAGGTAAGTAACAAAACTTTTTACCGTTTTGTTATATGAACACCCGCGATGACGCCTATTTTTGCTTTTCTGCCGCGATAGATGACACCCAATTTTCAACCTTTACGAACATGGTTCGTTTTTTTTCGACAATAAACAGTAACTCTCAGCTAGTTCTATCGACCAGCGCCATCAACGAAGGACCCGCATAGGTGGTGGTGAACGTGTTACTCCCCGGAAAGGGCAATAGCGCGTTCATTCCCCACCATAGACACCTGCGGTCCATAATACACTGCCATATAGAAGGCAGAAAATGGAAAGGTTTTTCATACATTTTAAGCGCAGAATAGTTTTTCCCGACAAAAACGTCCAACATAACACTTGTGTTCCACAATTATTGACTGATTTCTGGAAGTGTAAGAAGACATTTCTGCGAATTGAAACAAACCACCAGAAAGAAAATGAAATCTACAGAAATCATGCCGGCCACTCCTGGACATTGACGACTGCTTGTTTCCATTTGATAAGTAAACGAAAGCTTTTCATTTCTACTCTAATATTCTCTACAGAACACTATCATAGCTACATTTGGAAGTAAGTTACATAGTAACAATGGAAAAAAAAAAGACGAGAAAAAACGTTAAAATATTCCTTGATAAGTTCTATATTCGCACGAAACTGTGAACGTGCACTAAGTGGAAGCTTTTTCTGCTGTCATGTCTGTTTCATCCTTTCCTGTTTTCTAGTTCACTTTTCTTATCAATGTAAATATTACAATTATTGATCAAAGTTACCACAAACTTACTACAAAATGTAATTTCATTTGCTGATACAATTACGATAAAAACTTACGCTCGACCTAAAGAAAGA